GACAAATTTCGAAATAATATATTTTTGTCGATTTTTAAATTTGCTTCAATAAATTTTTTTTAAAAAATTGAATTTGTAATTTTTTTAGTGTTTGGATAAGATTTTGCAAAATAAATAAGCTACTGGTTTAAAAATGAAGAAATTTGGAGCAAACAAACAAAAAAATTGTATCAATTTTGACTTAATTTTGTAATTTTTTGGCTTGGTTAAAGAGAATTTAAAAATAAAAATTAATTTTTATTTTAAAAATGTGCTCAAACATTCAAAAAAGGCAAAAATTGCGATATTTTGTTGATTTTTTAGCATTTCTTTTATCAAAATTTTGAAAAGTAGTTACGTTTCTTGCTGAAAAATGTGCTAAAATTGTCGATAAATTTTGAAATAACATATTTTTGTCGATTTTTAAATTTGTTTCAATAAAATTTTTCGAGAAAATTGAGATTTTAGCACAAAAACCTCTTTAATAGCATTTTTGCACAAAAATTATTTAAATTTATTGAGGTAAACAAAATAACACCAATTTTATTATTTTTGTTTTTTTTTTTTAAAGATTTTGCAAAATAAATAAGCATCTGGTTTAAAAACGAAGAAATTCCGGGCAAACAAACAAAAAAAATATGTAAATTTATGTAATTGTAATTTTTTAGCTTGCTTAAAGAGAATTTAAAAGTAAAAATTAATTTTAATTTTAAAAATGTACTCAAACATTCAAAAAAGGCAAAAATTACGACGTTTTTGCCTTATTTCGATGATTTTGTAGAATTTTTTTAACAAAATTTTGCAAAGTAGTGTTAAAATGTGCGAAAATTGTCGACAAATTTTGTCGATTTTTAAATTTGTTTCAATAAAATTTTTTGAAAAAATCGAGATTTTACCACAAAAACCTCTTTAATAGCATTTTTGACCAAATCTTATTGTTTTATTATAATTTTTTGGTKTGTCTTAGTAAAATCTTGCGAAAAACATGAAACGTGTTTTTGACCAAATTTTTTTGTTCCTGGACTCATTTTTGCTCAATTTAATGAGATAAACAAAATAACACCAATTTTATTATTTTTGTAATTTTTTAGTAAGATTTTGCAAAATAAATAAGCTTCTGGTCTAAAAACGACAAAATTCGGGGCAAACAACAAAAAAATTATGTCAATTTCGATTTAATTTTCTAATTGTTTAGCTTGCTTAAAGAGAATTAAAAAAATTATTTTAATTTCAAAAATGTGCTCAAACACAAAAAAGACAAAAATTAAGACGTTTTTGCCTCATTTTGTTGATTTTTTAGCATTTTTTTTAACAAAATTTTGCAAAGTCTGCTTTTCTAGCTGAAAAATGTGCTAAAATTGTCGACAAATTTCGAAATAATATATTTTTGTCGATTGTTTCAATAAAATTTTTTGAAAAAATTGAATTTGTAATTTTTTTAGTGTTTGGATAAGATTTTGCAAAATAAATAAGCTACTGGTTTAAAAATGAAGAAATTCGAGGYAAACAAACAAAAAAATTAGATCAATTTTGATTTAATTTGGTAATTTTTTTCATTGGTTAAAGAAAATTAAAAAAAAAATTATTTAAAAAATGTATCGTAACTTATTTTTGAGACATGCTGTATAATTCTATTTATCTATCTATCTATCAATATCCTATACATTTTTTTTTAAATTTTACTATTGAAAGGTCACTAATGGACTTTTTCAACTTGCTGAGACACCCTGTATATTAAATTTTTTTTCAAAAAGGGATTTATTTTCAAAATGGTGGTCAGAGTAGTCGTCCTCCTCAGCCTCCTTGGAATTGTCTCAGCTGCGACCAGTAAGGAGCGCCCAATCGGCTAAAACCCCCATAAAATCTCCATTTGCAGATAAAGTGGTTTGTTATCACGGAATATGGGCCACTTATCGCCCCAACAATGGGAGATTCACCGTCGACGACATCGACCCCAATCTTTGCACACATCTAATTTACTCATTTGTTGGACTCGAGACCGACGGGCGAGTAAAACACCTGGAACCGAATTTGGACGTCAATTTGGGCAATTTGAAAAAATTCAATGATTTGAAATTGAAAAATCCGAAATTGAAAACTTTGGTGGCCATCGGGGGGTGGAATGAGGGCTCGATCAGGTATTCCAATATGGCGGCGAGTGCCAATTTGAGGGCTGTTTTCGTCAAGAGTGCCGTGGAGTTTGTGCAAAAGTGGGGGTTTGACGGGTTTGACCTTGATTGGGAGTATCCAGGGCAACGGGGAGGCGCCGCCTCCGATAAAGTAATTATAACCTCATTTTGAAACAGTGTTGCCAGATCAAAAAGAAATAAAGTTGGGGAAAAACGGAGTTTTTGGGTTAAAAATTTGTTGAACTTGAGAAAATGGCTAACATGAAGTCAAAACTAAATTTTACAAAATAATTGCGATTTTTTTTGAAAAACGTGCTATTTTTTTTTGACTAAAGTTTGTGTTTTTTGGCTTATTTTTGACTTATTTTGCTCAAAAGTTATTTAAATCGAGTGAAACAAACAAAATAAAATTTTTGTTTTGTAATTTGGC